GTTTTCTTCCCCCATCCCCTCCCCTCCCCACCACTCTGAAATGGAGTTCTTAATTATTTGGAAATGGTTCCTTAAATCAAAGTCTCCCTCTTTTCCATACTTTCCATTGTGATCGCTACTACATCCCCGCCTTCCCCCCGAAAATTGACTGTCTTCCAAAAGGTTAAGACGTTAGGTCCTTAAACTAAAAGTTTCAGGTAGATGTCCCCTTAATCCTTCAAAGCCTACCTGGGCCTTCCACAGCCATGATACCTTTCCCTGGCTGCCCTGCCCCTAGGGAGAATTATTCAAAAAGCCACTTAGCATATGATGCCTTGTATTATCAGATATGTGTGTATTCCTGAAAGTGCCTCCTGGTTCATAGTGTGCAGAACTGCCTTTACGTGTGAGATGGTGGTGCTGCTCCTGGGCTTGTCCTTAGGTTCCTAACACTTTCATTGTTTATCATTGTCCCCATTCCTTCCTCCCACTCTCGGCAGTTGATTTCGAACTCTCTATGATCTGCATTCTTCTCTATCTTGTCTGTTTGGCCTAAGGTAGCCTTCTTTAAGACAGGGCTGATGTCTTCCCTACTGCCTGTTCCCTATTACCCCCAGCAAGAGATGGCAGTAAAAAGTGCAGGTGGCAGGGGGCGGGTGGAATGACTGACAACACGTACACTCTCCAGCACTGAAGCACCAATGGGCATGAGACAGTGGAAAACTGGGAGGCTGGGCAGTGCACAGCAAGAAATTCAGATTCTGGAGGTCAGGTTTTACAGCTGAATCCTGGCTTTCCAACTTCTATCTAGTGTGACGTGAGCAAGCAATTTAACCCCCCTACAAGTCTCATTTTCTTCATCTGTAGAATGGGGATAATATTACAGCCTCCCTCACAATAGAGTTGTTCTCAGGATTAATAAAAAACAATCCATCCAAAAAGTCCTTATCGTACTGCCTGGCACCACACATGTCAGTTCTCATTAGAAGTAGGATGGTGAGTACTAAAAGAGTAGGTTTTAGATGTTCTCACCACAAAAAAAATGATAAATATGTAAGGTAACAAATGTGTTAATTAGCTAGATTTAGCCCTTCCACAATGTCTAAATACATAAAAACATCATGCTGTAGGCCCAAAATATAGTTTTAATTTTCATTTTAAAAAATAAAATAATTAAAAATAACAGTGCAACTTGCTTGCCATATTGGAAAAAAAAAAGTAGGACAGTGAGACAACACATATGAGCACATAGGTCACAATGGGCTGGCCTAAAGTAGGCGTCAGCTGGGGGAGAATAGCACAAAGCACAATGGAACGAAAGACTGGGCTACATAATGTTTACTGCAATCTATTTTAAGGCTTTTCATGGATCTTTTCGGCTATGCACATGATTAGTCATCATGATTGTCATTTTAGGTCAGAGTTTCTCAGTCTTAGCATTGTTGACTTTTTGGTTAATTCTTTGTTGTGGGGGCTGCCCTGTGCACTGTAGGATGTTTAGCAGCATCCTTGGTCTCCACCAACTAAATGCCAGGAGTGACACAGTACCTCCAACTCAGTTGTGACAACTACTGAATGTCTCCAGACATGGCAGAGAAGTGGAGTCTGGTTGAGAAGTCACTATTTTATGGTATAATTTTTGGGTAGACTGTTAGATTTCTTGTATTAGTTGTCCCTGGCATGTAAAACTCTTCTTAATTATCTGCTACTCAAATATATTTGGGATCAGCCACTCTCTTCCATTTCTCTTTTGTTCACAGATCTACTCCACAGCTCTTCTCCCTTCCTGGAAGAGAACAATGCTATGAATGTGCATATCCAATGAAATGCCAGCATATCCAAATGGATGCTAATAGCTGACCTTCCCAAAGCCTCACTGATGCTCTGCTCTTCATTTTTTGGATGTGAATATGTACTTTGTCTGCTGGGTGTAGATACTCATAGACTTGGTCTACTTGGGCAGCGGTCCCAAACCTTTTTGGCACCAGGTTCCAATTTTGTCGAAGACAGTTTTTCCATGGACTGGGGTGAGGGTGGTGATAGATGGTTTGGGGATGAAACTGTCCCACCTCAGATCATCAGGCATTAGATTCTCATAAGGAGCACGCAACCTAGATCCCTCCCACGCACCATTCACACTCCTATGAGAATCTCATGCTGCTTCTGATCTGACAGGAGGCGGAGTTCAGGTGGTAATCCTGCCTCATCCCACTGCTTACCTCTGGCTGTGGGAGAACAGGTCTAGAACTGGTTCTGGTCTGCAGCCCTGGGGTTGGGGATTCCCGTATTTGGGGACTCAAAGGCAGGGTGAGTTGACTGGGTTAGTACACTGATATACTATTCCTGGGCTTGGTTTTCACAGTCAAAAATGTCAAGAAGACTATTAAGAATATTTTACAGTGTTTTGTTTTTTTTTTTAAGCTCTTGAGAAGAAAATACAAAGCAACAGGTTGAAAGATACCCTAGTTAGCTGAGAAATAGGTCATTTGGGGTTTTCATATTGTTGGATAATTAAATTTGCAGTTTATTTTGTGTACTTTTAACTCTTTAAATTTTAATTGTGGATTTTTAGATTAAATTCGTATTCCTAAATATTTGATACATATTTCAAAATGTGCATATTAAAAGGTATACTAGGAACAGTCTTCCTCTTACCACATCCTTCATCTCCCCAACTGTAACCACTGATACTAGTTTCTCATATGTACTTGCAGAGTTTCTTTATAAGTAAATAAGCAAATATAAATAAAGATTCTTATGCTCTCCCCTTTTTACACAAAAGTGGCTTACTACAAACACTTCCTCAGCATCTTGTTTTCTGCAGCCAAACATTTCTTGGCTATCTTTCCATTAAATTAGTGTTCTTAAGTGGGGCAGGAAAAGGGAATAAAGATAAACATGATTGCTAAATCCATCTTTACAACTTCATGGTAAAGAAAAACTTTATAGAATCTATTTTTTTCATGGAATTAATGTGTCAGAGGTATGGGAAACATATACTTTTGCTGTTTTGAAATTTTTATGATTAAGATGGATTGTAATAGTAAGATTATTTCCTTATAACAACACCTTGAGTGTTGTATATCTGTCTTTATAATGTCTGTGTATAGCACCTGCATTTATTTTCTTGGTTGAAAAACTGAGGCCCAGGCAGATTAAATACCATACCAGGCCATCATTATGGTGGCCCTGGAGCTGGAACTAGAGTGTAGACTCCAATTCCTTGGCTTATAGAGAGAAGGAAACAAGCATATTGAAGATCTACTTTGTCCCACTAGATCTCACCTAATACTTAAAGCAACTTTATGAGGTAAGTACTATTACTCTCATTTCGCAGATGGAGGAGGAACAAAAAACTAAACTTTAGAGTGGTTAAATAATTTTCCGAACAGTACAGGTAACAGACCAGAATAAAAATTCACTGGCTGCAAAGTCTATGTTCTTTCTACCAAACCACCAGTCTACATGCTAGAAAACCCGGACAAAAAACTCAGAATCTGAGTTTCCTTCTCCCGTACCATGTTTTTGGTGTCCATTTGTTAATTCCTGTGCTTTCTGCACCACCGACTTGGCTCCCTGACCCCTTCTACTATTCTCCTCTTTACCCACTCTGCTCCTCTGCCTGCTCACCAGCTTCCTTGCTGTTCCTGCAACAGAACACAGCCTGGTGTGCTTTAGTGCTGGCTGTCTCCCCAGGAGCCACTGGACTTCCCCTCACCTCATTAGTACCATCTGGCATACTTTATTTTATGTATTTATTGATTACTTCCTGTCTCTCCTACTGGAATGTAAACTTCATACAGGTAGGAATATGTGTGTGTGTGTGCGTGCACACACATATTATTCAATGATTAGTCAATCATTGGTCTGTTTTATTCAATACTGTATTTCTGGTAGGGAACAGTACCTGGTATTTAATTGGTTTTCAATAAATATTTGAACAAATACCTGTTCTATTTTTGAAATAGGTACCATATTTGAAAGTAAGGGTATTAACTAAGCAACAGACATATAGTAGGCCCTCCTCTCTATAGCCTAGGAATAACAGCAGGTTGAACAATTTTTATATGCCATGTACCGTGTTAGTCCTGGAAACAGTCATAGGAGGCAGGTATTACTGTCTTCTTATTTTACAAATAAGAACTAAGGCTCAAAAAGCTAATTTGCAACAGGTCCTGCTAGTAATTGGCAGAGCCAGAATGCCAGTGTAGTTTTTACACCAAATCCTGTTTCTCACCCCATGACACACATCCACACGTCCTATCTCATATATCTCATGAGCCATCCTCTCCAGGGAATTTGTGTGTTGTAATATTCTGCCTGTCAAAGATCCCAAATCACCACCACTAGCAATCCAGTGTTGTGACACAGTATTTCCTATAGGTCCATGGCTACTTTGAGCCTTGATCTTGAGACATTAGCAGATATTCTCTCAATCATAATAATATGGCAAGTTTTGTCATTTGCGTAAATTCATAATTATTTTTGCATGGTTTAAAAACTTGTGACTTGGCCAGTAATAACATCTCATGTTCCCCAGAGGAGGTGGGTTTGTCATAAATACCATTTCCATAGACCATTTCAAGGATCCTAAAGTTCTCGGAAAATATTTTTAACAGGCAGCCATTTCTCAGACAGACTTCAAGGGCATAATACTATATATATCCTTATAAATATTTGTGTATGTATTTTATCTTATTAAGAGTATTTATAGCCGAGCGCGGTGGCTCAAGCCTGTAATCCCAGCACTTTGGGAGGCCGAGGCGGGTGGATCACGAGGACAAGAGATCGAGACCATCCTGGTCAACCTGGTGAGACCCCGTCTCCACTAAAAATACAAAAATTAGCTGGGCATGGTGGCGCGTGCCTGTAATCCCAGCTACTCAGGAGGCTGACGCAGGAGAATTGCCTGAACCCAGGCGGGGGTGGGTGGGGGCGGGCAGAACTCGCCCCATCGCCCCCCACCTGGGGTAACATGAGTAAAACCCCGTCTAAACAAAAAAAAAAAAAAAAAAAGTATTTATATGTATTTTTTTATTGCGCACAATCCATTTATATTTCAATGGTCCTTTTGTATTTTAGCAGATTAAAGAAACCAGAAATGGTTCATTGGAAAATCATTCTGATGCAGCTGTTAAATTTTGTTTTTAACATCCATTAGCCCCTTTTTTCTCTTCCCAGGTCACAGGTTATTTTCATTCAGATATTGCACATGGCTATTTTGGAGGATTTACTATGATTCTTTCTCTTAACCCTTACTCGTCAGTGGGCTGCTTTTCTTTATTCTTTCCTTTTTAAAAAGTAGATTACAAAGCATGTATCCTTTCCAGAACTTAGAGCAAAAAGTCAAAATAAAATTTTTTTTAAGCCTCTGGTTGCTTTTTTTTTTTTTTTTAAAGGCTTTCCTTTTTTATTTGGCTTTCTTACCTTAATTGTTGTTCAGTTCACCGTATTTAATAAAAAGCCAAAGCAGGAACCAGTCATGTGCCAGAATGGGTAAATTCACTGGTTTTCACCTCCTTGTAGTCTGGCTGCCTACACAGAGGCAGTGGCTAAAGTGGTATGCTTGGGAAACCAGACGTTTCCTAACTTGTTAGTGGGAAATTCAAACTTAGAAACCACAACAACAGACGCTTATGTTTTACTGTGACTACTGAAGTCACACAGTTTGCCATAGAAACAGGATAGACAGCAGCCTAAAGAGTATAAAATGAAACATTTTGATCCTTAGAGGACTTTTTTGTTCCTCCATTTTAGCTGTCATAAATCAGTAAACAAGGAAGAAGGAAAATAGGGAAATTTAATACATTGAAGAGTACTTAGAGGTTCAGGCAGTTAAAGGATGAGGGTTAATATGTGGCTTGGCTTCCTGCTGAGCAAACAGATCATGAGCCACGATGAGCATCCTACTTCTACCTTTACCCACTCTTCCCAGTTCCTGAGGATCATTGGTTTACATCTCTTCCATGATTTTTGGAAAGCTAGAGTTTGGGACGTATGTAATGTCTGATTACAGACAAGGGGAAAAATTGTATTCTGTAATCTGCTGGAACATAGATGACCATTTTTCTTGTGGTCTGTGTTTTGCTTGTCCTCTTGCATGCTTTATACAAATTAAAATTAGTTTGGGTACCTGAGCCTTGTTTAATTTCCCCTTGAATGTAAGTCCAGAGCATTTGGGTTATGTTTTCCTTTTCAGCAATTTCTGAATACTGAGGAGGCAGAATGCATAAACAGAATCTGATAGTATTTCCTTTCCTCTAAGTTGGGTTCTTTTAAGATGACCATGTTCTAGAGGATATTAAGCTTGCACATTAATGGGTAGTTCTATCAAAATATGACAATGGTCAACAGCGTATCTACTAGAGATGAGAGCAATGACTTTATACCCCCCTTCTCTTGGTGCTGAGTCTCCTGTTTACACTGACCCTGAGCAAGTTTCACCCATTCAGTGTATCTATGTGAGAAATGTTCTGTTTGTGGCAGTTAAAGAAATGGCTATAGTGTACCTCATATATGTGCTATTTGAATACCATCCATTTTTGCTCTTACCTCATTTTACCTTGTGATTTGAATTTTAAGAGAGGGCAAACTATCTCAGGTTTTAGTAGCTGAAAAAAGAGTTTTTGAAAAAAGCTCTGGCTTCATTATTCATCAAAGTTTACTCATTCATAGCTAAAAACAAAGAAAGCAGCACCCCGGGTATTAAACAATTGAAAAGCCACATATCTGATGGACAGGAAATCTTGGACCAAAATCTGCTAGCGACCTAACTATCTGAACTTGCCACATCTGCTTGTCACCTTAGCTGCAACATAGGGAGAGCAGTGCAGTTTTGTCTCTAGGTCTACAAAGCCTTTGGCAATCTTCAAATCTCATTTCCGCAAAATAAAAACTGCCAACAACCTTTAGAATCCTTTCCTCCCTTCTTTGCTATATAACGCTGTATGCAGATTCACATGTCAAGAGATTTTATCGCTGGTCAAGTCTCAATGGTTCAAAAGAATGGAAAACCCTAAGTAGTTGGAATTCCATGGGATTCAGATTTATTTGCATCTGTTGTAGTTCACAAGTTTTAAGTATGCTGTAAAAGCAGAGAGTACTTAAAATGTTATACTAAATTGAAAGGACAATTAAATGAACATCTAGGCAAAAAGTATTTAGACTGTTAATTTCAAAAGCGGCTCTTTATTGTTTATGGCTAGGATCTAATATAAGCCATTTAGCCGAAGTTGTAGGATTTGTCTTACAGATTTGGTTTTTGTGGGTGCCTTGAGGCATAGTAAAACAGGGAGATTCCAAACTAGCTTTTAAGTATTTTGCAATCACTGGCTCTCTGGTCCTTTACCTGCTCAGGAAGTTGTTTCTTTTTTTTTTTTTTTTTTTTTTTTTTGGAGACAGAGTTTCGCTCTTGTTACCCAGGCTGGAGTGCAATGGCGCGATCTCGGCTCACCGCAACCTCCGCCTCCTGGGTTCAGGCAATTCTCCTGCCTCAGCCTCCTGAGTAGCTGGGATTATAGGCACGCGCCACCATGCCCAGCTAATTTTTTGTAGTTTTAGTAGAGATAGGGTTTCACCATGTTGACCAGGATGGTCTTGATCTCTTGACCTCGTGATCCACCCGCCTCGGCCTCCCAAAGTGCTGGGATTACAGGCGTGAGCCACCGCGCCCGGCCAGGAAGTTGTTTCTTACTTCAGATGTCTTAAGACATTTTCAGGAAAGCTCTTGTCTGTTTCTCACAGGAGGGACTACCTTCTACCAGGGGAATCAAGGTACAGGGTAACCGCTCTACAGAGTGGCTAAGGTTAGGCACTCCAGAGACAGATCTTCAACAAGCTTAATCCTTTACTCCACTTGGTAGCTGGGTGTCTGAGAACAGGAATTCTTCTTGACTGCATCCTATAAAGCACCTCCTCTTTGGCCTGAGACAGCCTCTGTATGTCATCCTGGCAGCACCAGATGATGAAAGAGCGTCATCCCTACAGTAGACTGGCATAACTAGAAGAGTAACAGTATCTTCTATGGGTCTGCCACTGTGCCAACTACCTCATCATATTTAAGCTTCAGGTTAAGAATTGATGTTACTTAAGATGGCTTCCTCTCTGCAGAAGTCCAGGTTGTTCTGAAGGCCAAATAATGGGCTTTTAAATATAAGGGTTTGAGTGTTCTGATCCTGGCGCAAGCCTTATTTCTCTTTTAACCTCAGGTTCTCCTTTCATAGTAAACTTCTAAAAAATAAGGCTAACATCTTTTTTGGAACGCTTCATTCAGTCATCCCCATTTACATTTCAGTTCCCATCTTTTCCATGAATGTTTCTTAATTTGTCTAACCCTGGCTGATTTTCCTTTGCTAAGCCCCCACAACTCGTACAGCTTTATTATCTAAATATTCTACATTATTTTGTACTACTTTCCAATTTGCTTCAGCATATTACTTTTGCTGTTAAGCCAACTGTAAGCTCCTTAAAGGAATGATACTTCTGTATCCCTTATATGGGTTTGAACTCTGTGCATACTTGACCAAATAATTGAGAGGTAAAAAGAACCACTCCTAGGGGAGTATAACTATCCCTTAGGCTGAGTGGTACCTAAAATTCTCAGAATTACTTATTAGAATGGAAGAAGGACAAGTAGAGTTTTGTTCTCTTGTTCTTGTCACTTCTGGAAGGAACCATTTGGTTGAAGTAAAGAATTCACTTAGAGACAAATTTAATTAAAGTCCACATGGGTGAGATTGGCCAGAGAATCATTAACTTTGCCTGTGATTCTTTGCATCTTTGTTCAGCCTAGTGAATTTTGTGAAACTCTAAGAAGAATCCAATGGGGCAGAATTTGGGGGGAGATTAGTGGAACCCCAAATCACTTGACAAAGTTGTTCTTACTTTTATTTGAAAGCCTCAAGAACAATATGCAACTTCAACCAGAATCTATTTCTTTTAATAATATGAGTGTTTGAAAAGTAGATAATCTTCCTTTTAGCAGCAGTGGATTCATTTTCACAAAATTCCACAGAGTGATTCACCTCTTCTGCCTTTCCCAATTAACAGACTAACAAGTTAAGACTAAGGGACTTCCACAATATCTCACTGTGTGGGTGTTTGTCTTCAGCAAGAAACTAGCAACTTTCTCATGTTCTCCCTAGGCTCCTAGACCAAGCAACTCCTTTCTTTTTTTCAAATTTAACAGGCAGACACTTAAGTCTTGCCAGCTCAAATGTGATGTTTTACATTCCACTTATGATCTCTGCTCAGAGATTTGTTTTTGTTTTGATTCACATAAAAATGAACTTTTTTTAAAAAAAGAGAAAAACTCATTTCACCTTTAAACTTTTGTTCCAAAACTGGTGGGCCATGAGACGCAATAAATCTGGCAGATTTGCTTTTGTCAGGGCAGCCCATCTTGGAGGACTGACCTCATCTTTGAGGCTGCTCTAGATACAGTGATTTGGAGCTCTCACAGGGCCAAGTGCTACAGCCATGTTCCTCTTTTCCGCATTTACATGTGCACCCTTTTCCTCACATAACCCCTCATTTTCTTCAGCTGATTTGTCTCTAGCGATAGAATCAGTACCTTGTATTTTTATATTGTCTCTTCTCTCCTTGATCAGAGTTCCCATGAGGGTTATTGTTCACTATTCAATCTTTATCGAGTAGTGAGAAATACTTGGGATGGCTGACATTGTTCCCTTTTTTGTAGTTTGTAGAAACCAAGGGAGTTGGAGGCTCACCCAGTAAATGGATGGCAGAGCTATGAAGAGTAGAACTTTGATTTATTAACTGAAAGTGTTCTTACTCTTAGTCACACCATTGAGACACCAACATTTATCCAGGTCAATTCAGTGTCACTATTCAGCAAGACTGGCCATTGACTATATTCTGTTGTAGTTTTTAAAAGCACTTTCCCACATTCTTTATCTTTACTTAGTTTTTATGTGTAGCTGGTCTCTCCTACCTGCATTGTATTACCAGTCCATTAAAAAGAGCAGGGACAGGAGAATAATTGAAGCTGTTGTCCAAGAGCTGCTAGTGATCTCTGACCTCGTCGTTAATGTAGTAGCAGTCCATGCTAGTGGCTATAGCTGGGTTCGTGACATGGCATGGTGTGTTGTGAACTGGGTTGCTGGGCCTGTTGTCAGGTCTTGTGCTTAGCTCAATGCATGTTTGCTGCTGCCGAGGAGAATTATAAACCCTAGGCTAGCTTCACAGGAGTAATCTAACTTTGAAATTAAAATCACTCTTCCGTAAAATCTGGGAGATACACTGGGTTACCCAGAGAAACTCTGGAATTAGGTATATGCTTAGGAAAAGGCAGTCTGCTGCATGGCCAAGATAAGCTGTTTGTGGCCCAGAGGTGCATCTTCCAGGCCTTCACTGGAGACACAGAAATTAGAGAAATTCAGAGGAATCCACCCTTCATTAAGGACAAAACCACTGTACTGTGTTCTTCCATATATTGCTTGGAGGCCATTCCATGCCCCAGGGTGACTTACCTGGTACTCCTTCACCACCATCAGTGTCATCTTACTGGGGAGGGAGTTAAACTGACGTAGATGGAGGTGGGCAGAAAAGCCTCTGAATTAGTCTGCCTATGTAACATACACTGTACTGTACAAAGCAGATTTCACTGCCTTGACTTAACCTGAGCCTAAGCTGGTTTCTGGTTTTTACGTTTGTAAGTCACTTCCATGTGGTTGCTTTAAGTAGTGGCTGAGATTTGTTTTTGGCTCCTAAACAAAATCTAGATGAAGGGGCCCTCCATAGCCCACTGTTTGCAGAAACAAACACTTTTTTTCATATCAAATAAACTTCTAGGTTATAGTTTGTACATTTATCCAGCACCTTTTTTTGTCCCACCAACATACCTACTAATTGTAGCTAGGTACTTCCCTAGGCACTGGGGATACAGCTGGTTGCAAAACTGACCCCAAAGGAGTCTATAGGCCACGAGACAGATAATAAGCAAGCAAATCATTAATGTGTAATTTAATGTCACATCACAGTATACAGTTTGAAGGAAAATAAAGCACGGTAAGTACCACCAGGAGCTTACAGCCTTCATCGGTGACGACTTCTGCAGTTTGGGGGTAGGTTGTTTTGAAGGCATTGAGTCACTTTGAATTTTGAAAGGGATCCTGCGAGCTGGGGACATCTGAGAGGTGCAAAGTACTTAGCTGAAAGATACTGATAGAAGGCCATTTGTCAAGTTAGTGGTTCAGACGTAAATGTCTTTGGCCACAGAGTACATAGTCTTTCTAGGGCATCTCTCACCTTCCAAGTAGACAGTGGGATTTGCCACGTGGAAGACCTTTAAATATACTTATTTGTTTTCTCTTTCCTCCCTTATTCACCTCCCTCTGTTGTTGTATCCTGATTAAATTGTATTGATTTTCACAATACCTCCTTATCCTTTGCTTTCTTATTGATTATACTTGAAAACTTTGAAACTTTCTACTTTCGTTTTTTTAATGGATGTTATATCTAAATTACCACCTACAGTACTGAGGCTTTTTCTGGGGCTTCTGTTCTCCCCTCTTTCTAGCACTAATTGAGGATAAACTACTGGTGAGCTGTAGCCCAAGAATGCAGGGGGCCCTGGCTCTCCCTCTGTTACCTGTGTCTCTGGGGCAAGTCACACTGTGGATATCAGTTTCTTTCGTAAAGTGAGGCATTTGGATCAGATGACCCCCAAGACCCCTTCCAGCTGTAAAATTCTGTGGATAGTCTGTGCCAGGACTCTGTGTATGTGTGTGGGGGGTGTGTGTGTGGGTGTGTGTGTGTGTGTGTGTGTGTGACTCAAGGTACTTCTCAGATTCATAGTTGAATGTTTGCTGTTCTGATGTAATATATGCTCTCTTTTGCTGAATAACTTCTTTAGGCTCGAGTAAGTAGTTATCATAAACAGACACAAGGAGTTGAGGTATGTCTGCATCCTATCTGTCCCAATGATACACTTACTTCTCTACATACCTCTCTACTGCTCCCCTCCCCGCCTGACCCCACAAACACATCATTCCCCAAGCTTATTTTTAAAAAAATCTGTACTTAACAATGAATCATATTTTGGAGCCAGTAGGGCATAGAAATGTGTAGATGGTCAGAGTAGAGAAAGAACACTGCTAATGTGTTCTCATTCTTGGGCTCAGAATTAAAACTGCTGCTGTCCTATCTTCATCTGCTTAGCCATCTCAGAGAACAGGCATGGAGAGGGAGTGTCTCTCTCATATCTGAAAAAGAAACAAGGGGCTTTCCTTGGCGAGCCTTCCCATCTTTTGTTTGCCCAGCTTTCCCAGTCAGAGACGGTGTTAGTGCAGATGAAGGTCAAGGAGAATCTCAACTCTTTTTTTTTTTTTAAAGAGGGATGTGCAAAGGCTTATAAGTGTTAGTCATAATCTGCTAGGAATTGGTGTACCTAACAAAATGATTCAACACATGAATGTCCCACCTTACTTTAATTAGAAAATGACCAGCCAGAGGAGGTTCTAAAAGTCATTGCAGCACACATTAAGCTTAAGTGACTGGGTTGGTGGCTAGGAAATGCTGTGGTGATGACAGCAGCAGCCACAGAAATATTGCTTTGAAGGTTTGTGATGCTGGCTGGCTATGCAGTGTCTCTTCATCTTGAAATCCTTATTTAAATATAATTTACAGAAACTAAACAATCAGTTTAAATTAAAGCTGAATTCAAATACAAATTAAATGGACCCTAAAAATCATTTAAAATTAATATGTCCAACAGATAAGGTAGGATGTATTAGATTTTTCAAAGATGATCAGCTCTGTGAACAACAGATGGGGCCATTTCAGTTCCTGAAACAGGTTAAGACCAATATGGCTTTACATCCACAATATCCAGTCTTTTATAAACAGTTCTCTTCCTGCCCACCCCCCCCTTCCTTTTTCCTTTAAATAGGAGGAGCTGTCTTTTTTTTTTTTTTTATTCACCTTGTAAAATTCTCTTTTCCCTGAAGCCCTAGACATGGGCAGAACATGACCTAAGAAGAATTTTTGGAATTTTTTTCTTCCTCCTGCATTTTCACTTTTTTTCTTTCGTCTCAAAATGCATTTATTACCAAAGGCACTTTTTTGGAGGGGAAGGTGCAGCAGAGAACCCTAAAACAAAATTCACAGCCTTTTGATTAAGCAAATCAGTGGGAACTCCAAGAAAACTGGAAAATTAAGTAAAGGGTTGATTTGTGTTTTCATATTGGCTGTTACTATAGACTCCATCACAGCATTACGAAAATAGCACAGAAATACCAGGACTTAACAATTAAGGTTAATCACCACAAAAGGGCAAATGAATTCACTAAGCACAAAATTATTATGTGCTTTATTTGGAAGTGTAAAAATTCACATTCATTCTATAAAAACATTTTCCATCATACAGATTGTCCCAAAGACTAAGAAATGCTCACCCAAAGAGCCCACTAGGACATAATGTATCCATGACAAATCTTATTTAACTTTCAGTTTTAAAAGAGGTCTTAATATGTGATTGTTCTTTGAAACATGCTTTAAAGTTAATAAATGAGAAAAAGTTTGGAATATTAAAGTGTGTCATTTTTAAATTTAAAAAAATTGATGCTTCTTGCCTGCTTTAAAAAAGTAAAAGGCAGACATTGAAAAACACAGCTGTTTGAGTTTTGGTGAAAGTTACGATTTTCAACACTTGAGATACAGTTTATGGTACAGATGGTACTCTGGGTATAGCTGAAACAGTAATTGATGGTTTCCATTTGCCTCCTCCTCTATTAGATTCAGAAGAGCAGAATATCTTTTTCCCAAGGCAAGAATTTTTCAGTTTCCAATTACTGCTTATATCAAATAAACAACTCTTCTATCGCATATTCTGTACTTCACCGTGACATGGGTGTTGGCCCTGCTCTCCTTATGACAGGCTTCCCTAGGTTTGAAATAATAGTTTTGGGAAAATCCTACTTCTCAGTACTAACCTGCAGTTTATATAGCCTATCTTCAGGCCAAATAACATATAATTTTTCTTTTAAAATATGAAAACCAAAGTCTTGCATTGCTCCTAGCAAAATTAGCAAAAACAGAAAAACTACGAGGCAAAAATGATAGGCACAAATGTCATATACTTTTAAAAACCCTACTACAGAAATTATTGGAAATATACAGCTATAACCCACATTTTTAGTATATTTTTTAAAATGCTGTTTCAATGATAAATCTGTGATCTGATATTTTCTTCTCACTGACAATTAAATATAAAAACATGAATTTGTAACACACACATACACCTCAATGGTTATAGTGCTCTGCTCCTCTGTTAAACTTTTACTGTACATCCAGACAGTTGTCTTATATGGTCATTTTAGTGCCAACAATAGTAAGTATTTTTAAATCTCAGAGTAAATATAAATGGCAGCCTATGAATTCTGAGTTTGAATTGTGTATAGTTATCAAACATAGAGACTTTTAAAAGGAAAACAGTACTATCACACAGTTGTTAAAGTTTTATATTATAATATATGTTTAGACCAGATAAGGTTTGAATGATAAATCAATTTTTCATCTCCTATTCCAGTAGTCTAAACCTGACATAACCATTTATTTTTAATTCCTCCGTTGATTTTTATTTGGAAAAAAATGAAGTAAAATACTATGTAGATTTCTCTGCTAAATGTTCAGTTATCATATTCTAAGAGTTCATTGGTAGCAATAGCCTCTTCGGGATTTAGATGTAACTATGGTTCAAAATGCCACTGATTAATAAAGTTATTCTGTCAGTTTCACCTTTTAAATTGGCATTTTTTACACAATATACTACTATCCAAAATTTTACTCTAGAAATGATAGCTTTAAGTGAAGTTTGTCATTTATCCAATGTCTGAAGTTGAAGCAGAAAGTTGGAACGCAAAACTATGATAGTTACTTCCTTGCACAACTTGACATATGCTTTTAAGACAAAATAGCATTTATACGACTTTTTGAAGCTTAAAAAGATTTTACTTTTTAAGTTAGATTCGTCTTAATTCCAAGATGTATTCCTAACATTGTTTTTCTAGTCGTTTATATTAACATTTACAAAAAGAGGGGGAAAGCCGGCACTAACAAATTTTCGCACTCTGCTGGTTGAGTCCCGAGGAGAGAGAGGATCAAGAGTTAGGGTTGCTGAGGCACGGTATAGTGTCCCACCCTTTCCCCAAAGATTTCTCAGTACGGGCAGGATTCAATGTGTAGCTCACTTGGAAAGAGTATGTAATACAGTCAGCTCCCACCTCTCAACATTTAAAGTTAAATCTCCAATGCGTTTTCTCCGCCGGAGAAAGCTTTTACTTTCAAGTTTTGTGTGAGTTGGAAACGGTTTTGAACCTAGAATTCACTGGATGCGCTTTGCGAAACCTGTCTGCAGTTTGTGATGCTGAGACAGCGTCACCAGCCACCCACAGACTTGCTACCTGGCCCTCTGACAGCAGAGCCCCGTGGTGGAGCGGAGCTGCTCTCCCGGGCTTACCTGAGCTGCCTGCACCGGGCCGGGCGGGGGCCGGGCCGGGGCCGCTGTCGTGCCGCGCTGCGAGCGGGCTGTGCGCGCTCCGGGAGTCGCCCGAACAATGCGAGCGGGGCGCCGAGCGCGCCCGGCCTATGGGCGTTACGTCACTGCTCTGCCTTATAAGGCGCTCCGCGTGTGCGGCGCGGTCTGCGGGGGCGCCGGTGACCGCGAGACCCTCGGCGGCGGCGGCGCAACAACGCGCCCCGGCTCCCGCGGACGTTCCGGCCGTGTGAACCGACCGTGGGCTCCCGGCTCCCAGCGGAGGGAATGCGCGGTGGGCCGGCGACGCCGGCGCCCTCCTGTCGGGCTAACCAAGTCTCTGGGAGGCAGGGTCGAGCCGCTTATAACTTTTCTCCCTCTGGGTCCCTAAAGCTGTTATTGCTTCAGGAACTTCAGTACACATCCTGTTATCCTTATATAAACTTTGGTAAATTCATTATAATTTTTTTTTCTTTTTGGTTGCTGGGGGTAGGCGGGAGAGGGAAAGAAGTCTGGGGTTTTGTGGCGACATCTCTGGGGGTGCCTTAGACTTCAAACCTCTTTCCTCTTTGTAATGAGTAGGGGTCCTCAGAGGATAGTGTTTTATTTCCTGATGATGTAACTACCAAACAATTCTTCAAGTGATGATGGGAAGGCCAGATGAAATCTTATTTTTTTCAATGGTTTTCCTGAAAGAACCTCCTCTTTCCCCATTTCTGCATGCCTGAGTTTTAACGAAAGCAGTTAAGACTAATTTTTTTGGCCAGGAAAATTTTTTTAAAGACTTTAAATGTTTTGTGCTGTCCTTTCAAGACAATGTATAAAATTAGAACTTTAGAAGCAGTTTTAATGTTTGTTCTCTTCTACCGGCAAACAAAATAAACCAAAACTAACCATGCGAAGAAAAAAGAAATTAGCCAAATATGATTGAATTAAGCATATTATCCTCTAGTATAGGGTAGATTAACTTGTACAAATCCCATTTCTTGTGAATGAGAATTCACCTCTGAATTATATAATGCCTAAAGTTCTAGCCCAGCTATATGAATCTGCTAAATAAATTAGGGACGCGGCATTCTTATTTGCAAGCTTCAGATGAGTAATTTTAGTAGCTTGAGTTCTTTAAAACCTCTTAAAATTACGTTAAAATAGGATTGCTTCCTATTATGATGTATATATGTCTGTAGAATTATTGTTTCCATATGTTTTGTCAAATAGGAATGATGAACATAGTCTGTTTGCTTCTTTGTCTTCGTGTGGAGAAAGGCTGTTTGCAGAGTTGTATGGTTCGTGGAAATGGGGTGGAATAAAGATGCAGGACACAGCATTAAATGTATGTCCTCTTTGCTGAATTGGAGTTCACTTTATCATTCTTCTAGATCACTCTACGTACCTACTAAGAAGCCTAAAGTAAACGTACTCTTGCTTTTCATATACAGTACACCGAGTTTTGTTTGTTTCAGTGTCTCGTTCCCCCTCAACCCCACCCCACGGAGTCTGGCTCTGTTGCCCAGGCTGGAGTGCAGTGGTGCGATCTCTGCTCACTCCAACATCCGCCTCCCAAGTTCAAGCAGCTCTCCTGCCTTAGCCTCCTGAGTAGCTGGGAATGCAGGTGCACGCCCCCACGCCCGGCTAATTTTTGTATTTTTAGTAGAGACGAGATTTCACCATGTTGGCCAGGATGGTCTTGAACTCCTGGCCTCATGATCTGCGTTCCTCGACCTCCCAAAGTGCTGGGATTATAGGCATGAGCCACCATACCCAGCCTCATATACAGTATACTGTTTTAAGAGATTTACTTTCAAGTATACTCAAGAGAATGACGCATACTCTTCAGCCGAACTGAAATTCAATATTTGGTTTGCAGTTATGTCCGAACATTTTGGATGTTGAGTTTGTTCTGTTAGTTTTACCCTTCTGCCCTATGCTTGTGAAGTGCATTATAATCTTTCTAGTCTCCTGTGCTTACCTCATACTCAATAAACATCATTTTTGAGATTTTTCTGCTATGTTTTTTATTACAAGTGAGATAAAATGACTTTTATGAAAGTTGTATGATGCATAAACACCTGAATCTCAGCCCCAAACTGATAATGTACTTTTACCCCAAAGGTAACAGTTTTGTAGCTTGTTTTGTGTCTTATTCCCGCTGATAGGTAATGATAGGTAAATACGTTTCCTAACATTTGACACTACAATTTCTTTCTTTCTCACATGTCCATACTCAAGTTTTGCATTTATTTTCACTCTTTTGACTTGCCAGTTCCCCTATGAAATATGTTAGTATTATTTCCTCCTTTTCTTTTTTTTTTTTTTTTTTTTTTTCTTAAAGACAGGGTTTCACCATGTTGGTCAGGCTGGTCTTGAACTCCCGAC